TTTTGTCTGCTTTCCTTTGATGCAGTCTATACATACTCCTAAGTCACTAAAATCCAAAGATGGTAAAATTTCATTCTTCACCAATCTTATTAACCTTTCTTTGGATATATGACCTAATCTTTGATGCCACAATAAAGCCGAACTTTCATTGTTAGGTGCACTACGTTTAACGCCCATAATATTTTCAACATTAAACAAGGATTCTGAAAACTTTCTATCAAGATTAAAGCGATAAAGACCATCCATTAAAATACCAGAACCGAAAATGTGTTCATGTTTATGTAATTGAAAAATACCAGAACCGAACTTAACAGAAAAACCCATCAAGTCTAATTTTCCAATAGAAACAAGATTTCTTGCACATTCAGGAACATAAAGACATCCTTCAAGAGCTATGTGAAAGCCGGTGTCTAAGACCAATATATAAGTCCCAATGCCTTCTATCCGTGCTTTCATCTTATTCCCCATGACCACATGCCGTTCAGGTCCTTTTATGGTTTGGATCATACTGAATCCCTGTTTAATATGAGAAACGTGAGTAGTAGCACCTGAATCTAACCACCAAGTATTATTAGGAACTTCAATAACATTCGATTCAAAGCAAACTAAAATATTATGTTTACCTTTACTTTCGAACCATTCCTTCCTTTTCTGACAATCTTTCTTAATGTGTCCAGTCTTTTTACAGAAAAAACACTTGACTTCTTTCCGGACTCGGCTCACATTATCTTTTGTTGGAGCCTTATCCTTCCTTTTGTCATTCTTTCCTGGTTTTCTTTTATTGCTGCCGGCATTGGTTTGAACTGTAAGATGGACAGAATGTTCTTTCACCTTCTTTAATCTCCCTTCCTCCTGTATGAGCATGGCCTTCAACTCCTGAAAGTTCCATTTTTCCTTGATGGTGTTATAATTCACCTGGAACTGGACAAACTCAACAGGGAGAGAGTTAATGATGAACTGGACCAGAAATGTCTCATTAACATCCATTCCCATAGCTTTCAACTTCTTCTGGCAATGGAATTGTTAAGTTCAACGGGCTTAACTATGCAGACTGGTCTGAACAGATCCAATTTTATTTGGGTTTCAATGATATGGATTATGCATTGTTGAATGAAAAGCCAACAGCCATAACAGATGAAAGCTCAGAAAATGACAGGATTAAATATTTTATTTGTTTTATATTTTAAACTTGTTAGTCACCAAAGTGACTTAGTTTAAATTAAAATAAATATTCAAACCAAATATGCATGTTTTAATTGTTCATAATAAAAGGATGCTAATGTATGACATAAAATAAATAATTGAACAATTATAATTATTTATCATATTGCTATTAGATCATCCAAAGATGGATCAATGCATATGATTAATAATATTATAGGGACATAATTTTGGTTAATAAGTATGTATATCCAAAGATTGCATTCTTATTTAACTGGTAATATTATGATGTCCATTAAAGCATATTTTGATATAACATGTATCCACATAGTTAATTTCATAAAGTATATAAACTATTATCCATACAAATTTCTATATGGTATATTAATGCATAATATATATACTTATATGAAGATACAATAATAATAATAATAATACATATTGATATGTATTATAAAACATAGAAGTTATCAATATTAATATTTCACTATAAATTTATTAATTTATTTGAAACCATCTTTATTGTTCAATTTTAGAACTCGCATTTGATATAATTAAAATGATCTTTAATATAGTTAATATTTGCATGATATTTTATAACTTTATGTTAACTTTTCATGCAAGTATGTCTTTGTACTCATATATTCAAGATATATGTATATATATCTATATATTGCTATTATTATATAACAAACACGAATATTCATATATACTAATTCATATATATATATATATCCACTTTAATTGATATTACTATAATCTTTGATGATACATAAAAAAAATGTATCAATATATTACACATATTAAAATTTCGAATCTATAATCGATGAATTATGATAAAACAAAACACATGCTCTGATACCAAATGTAAAAACTTTATATTGATGGTTTTCGATAACTTTATGAAAACTCACCAAAAACTGGATACGGTTTTTGCATAATTCATACAATTCGAAATTAATATACATATCGGATAAGAATTATACCTGAATCCATTTTGCAGCGGAATGACTTTGAAGAATAATTCGGTAAATCGGTTTTTCTCTCTTTTCACCCTTACTTTGATAATTTTTCTGATGGATGAAAAATATGAATCAAGATCCTCTATTTATAGGGGAAAGAGATGGATTACCATGAATACCAATGGACATTCAAACTTAATTAGCTCATATCCATCAATGAGCTCAAAATAATATGAAGTCCAAAACCCAAAATTCCATGGGTCAATTTTATATTTCCAACACAAGATTCGAGCAGACCAAATCCAGAGCTTGAGAAGCTGAAAAGACAGAAATTTTCACGCAAAGTAAAAAAACCCCGGAGGAATTAAGCGACGAACCCGGGAAATGATGTGCGAAGCGTGAACCATTTGCATAGAAGACTGATGAGCAAGAATCTGAGCTTTCGTCACCTCTACTCCGCTTTTTCAGATAAGAAGCGCCGCGACCGCGAGCGAGCCCCCCCCTTGTTTTTGTTTAGGGGGCTGAGAGCTAACATACGCCGCCATGCATTTTTAGAGGGCTGAGCGCTAACATACGCCGAGTGCTCATATGCGCTCATGGACATTGTCGGGGAATGGGCCATATCTGATAACTGGGCCGATTTGATGACCATAGGCCCAGACCAAATTCGCATCTCATGAACCAGCCCATACTCGTGTTTCATTGTGCTTGAACAAAAAAAAAAAGAAGAAATTAAAGTTATTAGCTTTCGCCAGAATAAATTGGGGAAATTTTTATAATGTGTATAGGCTAAAGTGAAGACAATTTCATAAAGATAACAACCTCTACAGAAGGATTCAATCTAAGGCACCATTATATTTTATAATAAGATTCTTTTTATAAACTGAGTTTTCTTGCACAAACTGTGATTATTTTAATCGAGTATATCGATATGTCTGAATTTAATTGGTGTTAGGACACATGTGGACATGGAACTTAAAAAATTTAAATAACGAATGGTCCTCCTCAATGATTTATGCAATGCAATAATATAAATAAATAAATAAAATTTCGAAAGAAATCAAAAGCATTATTTTTCTCGGGCGTTGAAAAACTTTAGAGAGATAGAGAGAGAGAGAGAGGATTTGGTTAAGTCAACAAAATGAGAAAAGTGAGGGGAGGGGCTCGTGGAGTTGGTCTCCCTCCTCTGCATGTCACGCATCATTACAAAATTTCCAATTTTCATTATTTTATTTATTTTGTTCCGATTATTTATTTATTTTTGTTAATGTACGTATACAAGTAAACAAACAAATACTTGCATAATTATTTTGTCCATCATGAATAAATCATGTATTGGGATGTTTTAATTATCTTGGATAATTAGACCCACTATTCGACTGACGTTACTTAAGCCATCATTTGATTGGCTAATCTGCAGTTAGTGTGGGTTCATATATTATACATTTATACTAACCAAACTTTGTATGCTAAGAATATGCATTTTTTTATTATAGATTTAAAAAATTGTTCATTACTTGCGATAAATAGTTACTTTATTCCACAATATACGCAAATAATAATTGTTTTATTTTTGGGAAATAACAAAATAAAAGGTTTGTGAATTAATTGCATATGATAATATATATTGTGGCATCGATAAAGATTTTTGTTATTGGTGATATATATGAAAGTGAGAGTGAGGCTATCATTGTTCCGCGGAATTAATTAGTTTCAAATTATATATCTAGAAACATGCAAAAAAATGAAATTAAAATCAAATTATAATGCACAACCATGCATGGAATTGCACGTTACGTTTGTCGTTTTTCCAAAAACAGCCTTCCATGTAGTTGAACAGTTGAACCTTAATACTTATCCTCTCTCCATTACATATGTCCGTGTATACATACATACATACACACTTATAATGATTATATATATAATATAAGATTTTATACGAATAAACATACATAATCAACCGAGCAACTATTCCACGTATATATCTGATATATATATTATCCGCCATAACTGCGCGTTCACTTGCAAATTTAGGTGGGAAGAGAAGACCCACCGTTTGACTAACATTAATATCTCACAATATACCAAAACCTTTACTGTTGTCTAACAGATAAGATTTTTGTAACCAAAACCATATATATTATGAATAATTAATGTTTTGTAACTATGTGATAACACGTTCAAAGATGTACATGGATTGCAACTTACTCCAAAGTCCAAACTATGTTTCAATAAGACGGGTCGAAATCTACGAGATCAAGGAATAATGGGGACTTAAATGTAATCGACAAAGGGATTATAAGAATCAAATGTAACCAAGAAGAGTGATTTTTTTTTTATAAAAAAAAAGGGATGATAGAGGGGAGGAGATGGGGCCCACGCGTGTTACAAAAAGGGTCCATTGATGAGCATAATAATATGATGTGAATCTCTCACCATTTTTATTGACTCCTACAGTAACATTGTATGCACCCTCCAATCATTTGCAAAGCCATAAATATAAAAACACACCAAAAAGCTTTGTAATTTTCAATAACCCTTTGAAAAGAAGAGAAAATAATACAAACCCCTCAAAAGACGATCGCACCTTTTTTATTTTTTTCCATTTTCAACGTCATTGTTAGAATTCCTTCTCCAATTCGATTTTCATTTCACCTGTTTTTCTTCCTTTCCTTTGATTTTTCATTTATTTATTTGTTCTTTCTTGCCCTCCAGAGCCATTTGAAAACCCCAAGAAAGAAGCCATCCCCTTCTTCTTTGCTCACCGACGAACTAATCAAGAACTTTTTCAGAAGGGGAAATTTTAATTCATCGTCTCCTCAAGAAAATCAAACCAACCCCATTGCTGCTTCAAGCTTCTTTCGTCTCTCTCGATTGCTATTTTGGCGTTTTGGATGTCAATCTCGGTTTCTCCGTAGGGGTGGAGAAAAACTTCGAACTACCGTTATGGGTTCGTCTTTTTTCCTGAAAAGACTGGATCTTTAACGGCTGGTTTTCTCTGCATGGTTCAATCTCAATCTGGGTCTGTTCCTTTTTTTCTCGTTCGATTCTTTTTATTTTTATTTTTTCGTGTAATTTTTTAAATGGGTACTTTGTCAGATTCCTACAAAAATCTAAATGATGTTTTTCCCCTTACTGTCTTTGTTTGTATCCGATGTGTTCCATACACTGTCCCTTTGCCGCTACCGTAGATCTGTCTGCAGATTCTGCTCGATCCAGCTCCTTATTAGTGCTTGAACAGTGCTCGAAAGGCCAGATCACCGGAAATTTTATCACTGCTCACGTCTTCATTTCCAGGGCTCCTTGTGTGGCTTCCGACGAGCTTTTTGCCCATTCAGCTGATTTTGTTCTTCGAATTTCGATCATCTGCGTTTCAATGGTAAGAGATTGAAAGTTCAGATGATGCATAGCTGCTGGAAAACGCACCAGGTCTTTGAAGGGTTTATAGGGTTTTTGATATTTTGGCCTGTGTTCCTGCATTTGGTACTCGGCTATGGCGCTGAAAATTTCGGAATCTCTTTAGAAGGTTGTCACTGGGTCGGTCCGATAAAGTGTTTGTAGAATTGCCTAAGTGATGGGGAACGGCACTTCCCGTGTTGTCGGTTGTTTTGTGCCTTCCAATGAGAAAAATGGCGTGGATTTAGAATTTCTGGAGCCATTAGATGAAGGTTTAGGCCATTCCTTCTGTTACGTGAGGCCTAGCCTCTTCGATTCTCCGGACATTACTCCTTCAAACTCTGAGAGATTCACTGTTGATTCAAGCACCCTTGATTCTGAGACGCTCAGTGGCTCTTTCCGACAAGAGCCTGTTGATGACCTCTCTTGCTTTTACAGACACAACAGCAAGGGCTTGCCAGAAACTACATTTAGGACAATCTCAGGCGCCTCGGTCAGTGCCAATGTCTCGACGGCTAGAACTGGGAATCAAACGGCGTTGTTTTCAAGTGAGGTGCTAGAGCCTGCAGCCTCGTTTGAGAGCACGTCCTCGTTTGCTGCAATTCCTTTGCAGCCAATTCCTCGTGGTTCAGGACCTTTAAATGGTTTCATGTCCGGGCCTCTAGAGAGAGGTTTTGCTTCTGGTCCTTTAGATAGAAACAATGGTTTTATGTCAGGACCAATAGAAAAAGGAGTGATGTCTGGCCCTCTTGATGTCTCTGACAGATCCAATTTCTCTGCACCGCTGTCTTCAAGGCGTAGAAAGCCACGGTTTCAGCGTATTATGAGGAGTGTTAGTGGCCCGGTGAGAAGTAAATTAGCAAGGACATTCTCTAGACGGTCTGGAGGGTTAGGTTGGATGCAGCGTTTCTTCTTGCATCCAGCAACTAGGGTTGCCTGGCATGTCGGGAAGGAGGGCAAGTTACCCTCTGGAGTCCCGGCCGATTGCCTTGAGAACAGCCGCAACTTGCAGTGGGCCCATGGTAAGGCTGGAGAAGACAGGGTTCATGTGGTGCTCTCAGAGGAACAAGGATGGCTCTTCATAGGTATATATGATGGGTTTAGTGGGCCGGATGCTCCGGATTTTGTCATGAGTAATCTTTATAAAGCTATAGACAAGGAACTAGAAGGCCTTCTATGGGATTATGAAGAGCAACCTGTAAATGATTCACCTAAACCCAGTGAAGCTACTAATGTGCAATCAGATCAGGAACCTTCCACCAGGGTTGAGAACTCATGTGATCCAGAAATTATCGATGAACAGCCTTCAAACCCAGATGTTTCGGGAAGTAACGAGGTTTTGACTGATAAGAGTAGCTCCGAGAAGAAGGACGCTCAAAGTGCTTGTGTTCCGCCCGGAAAATTAGCTGGTCCAGGCAAGAAAAGCATGAGACTTTACGAGCTACTTCAATTGGAAAGGTGGGATGGAGAAGTTTCTTCATCACTATTAGAAAACCTAAACCAACCTAAACATTGTCGTGACGGGAGGAGGGTTGTAGATGGTCTGAGCAGTCAGGTTGAAGATCCATCTACTTCAGGCGGTGGAGTTAGAAATGATCTGGATGCCACCGACCAAGGAACTTTGGATGATATTCACACCTCGGCACAAAACCATGGGGCTAGAAAGTCACAGATAAGCTCAAAGATAAGGAGAATGTATCAGAAACAGAAGTCTCTACGGAAAAAGCTTTTTCCTTGGAGTTATGATTGGCACAGGGAAGAGACTTGTGTTGAAGAGAGGGTGACAGAATCGTCAGGACCGATCAGGAGATGCTGGTCAGGAACTGTAGACCATGATGCTGTTCTAAGAGCAATGGCTAGGGCTCTAGAAAGAACTGAAGAAGCATACATGGAAATGGTAGAGAAGTCTCTAGACACAAACCCAGAGCTTGCTCTTATGGGTTCATGTGTTCTCGTAATGCTAATGAAGGATCAGGATGTTTATGTGATGAATGTTGGGGATAGTCGGGCGATCCTGGCCCAAGAAAGACTGAATGATCGTCACCCTAATCCCAATTTCGGGACAGATGACATTATAAGGCATAGTAATAGGTCCAGAGAATCACTCGTGCGTATGGAACTGGACAGAATATCAGAGGAGTCACCAATACACAACCAAACTACTCGGATAAACATGACGAACAAGAACAGGGACGTGTCCTCATACCGGTTAAAGATGAGGGCGGTTCAACTCTCAAGTGACCATAGCACAAGTGTTGAAGAGGTAAATTTCTGTCTTCTGTTTTATTATAGATTCATTTATTTAGCAGTGATCGAGTACACTCTTGAGGCTCTCTTGTTGTCCATGCGTAGTTATGTTGAGACAAGTAGGAACATTTTTATTCTATTACGGTCATAATTTTTCTTCTCCATACCTACAAGAAATAAGGAATGACCTAGATTCAGGAACAGGAAGCTGTGAATCACCTTGCTAGATTTGACAGTGAACTCATCTTCCTTCCCGGTTTGTATGCACCTACACAACTTTTTTATGACGAAAAGCAAATGTATTTTGTTGTTGGACTGTCTATTTCAGGAAGTTTCTCGGATCAGAGCTGAACATCCAGATGATGACCAGGCCATTCTGAAAGATAGAGTGAAAGGGCAACTCAAAGTCACACGGGCTTTTGGAGCTGGATTCCTGAAAAAGGTTAGGCAATGTTCCGAATTTTGTAACCCTTTATAGGTAATACACTTTTACCAGTTCCCTGCCAAATTGGAGACTGAACAATGATTTAGAAACCCGATTCAGATATTTGTTTTTCGATTCTGAATTCTGTGGGGTCCATCTTGTCTCGTATATTCATGGCCACGAAGCCCTTCGCCAGATTTAGAGAATACCAGACAGTTGTGTCAAAAGAATCCAACTGAAGTTTATGTATTCGAAGAATCTTGTTTTGTCTTAACCCCGTAACTCAATACACATGCTATTCAATGTTGCAGCCAAACTTCAATGAAGCTCTGCTGGAAATGTTTCGGGTGGACTATGTGGGAACTGCCCCATTCATCAATTGCATACCGTCCACAGTCCATCACCGGCTCACTTCAAGTGACCGTTTCTTGGTGTTATCTTCTGATGGGTTATACGAATACTTCAGCAACGAGGAGGTGGTTGCACATGTCAGTTGGTTCATGGACAACGTTCCTGAAGGCGATCCTGCTCAATACCTCATTGCAGAGCTTCTCTCTCGGGCTGCCACCAAGAACGGTAAGAATAATCGTTCTCCTTTCATGGATATATATATACGTATATTCTTGGACTCTAAGGTCTTTTATGTAAAGAAAAAGCCTTCACAGCATTTTAGCAGATATACAGTGAACCTTTAGCCAAGTCTCATCTGAAATACTCTTTCTGATACATTGGTGTTTCATCGTCTGGGTTTGGTATGGTTAGATAACAGGACCAGAATACCGAAAGTTTGGTTAGCAAGAACCGTTGTAAGAGATAATGTATGGGTATTGTGTTGGATTGTAGGGATGGAGTTTCATGATCTGTTGGACATTCCTCAAGGGGATCGGCGGAAGTACCATGACGACGTTTCGGTGATGGTTGTGTCGCTTGAGGGAAGGATCTGGCGATCTTCCGGCCAATATTTCCCGGACAAGAAGCAAAAACCGAACAGATGAATAATTGTTGTTGTTCTATTTCAGAAACATTTGTTTTGTACCCAAAAAATGGCCAAGGCTTAATTTTTCTTTCCTGCAGATTCCGGAGAATCTCCTGAGCTTTTCCTTAAGTTGTTTTTTTTCCGGCTTCTTTCCACTTGAAGAAGCTGCAAAAGAAAAAAAAAAAAAAATCTTTCCTCATTACGTTTTTGTCCGGAGGCTTGGAAGAACTTGCACCATTTTGCACTACAAAGCAACTTCTATGTTAATTAAGCATTTTATGCACAATGAAAATAATATTAATAATTTCAATTTTTATATGTTTATTGACAAGGAAAAAACATGAAGGGGTAAAAATGGGGAGACATGAGTGGGAAAAAAAAAAGAGAGTGGAAAAGCAAAAGGGGGACAAAGGGCAGTAGTTGTGTCTTTGTCGAAACGACTTTTAGTTTGAATTACTCCACAGCTTTTCTTGTTCCAGTTTGGTAAAAGACAATAATAATCCCTTTTTTTTATGATCTTAAGATTTGTAGTTGCCAATACTTACTTTGGACCAAAAAAAACATTTTATTATTATTATTTTTGTCTCCGAGGACACAAATTAAAATAATGCATATAGTTCAAGAATGTTATAGAATATGTGGGATTCCCACTTGTTCTAAATACCAGCTTGATCTTTTTTGGAAAATTTAAAAGTTTTACCAGTCAACCAACAAGAACATGAGTTTTAAAGAAGACGAAATCAAGATTAAAGAAACCGTGTAATCCTTGAGAAAATGACGTCGCTTTTGCTGCAATTTCGCTTTGCGTTTAAGTCACAGCTTAGATCGGTTTGGTTCATCAAATTCCACATTTTTTTCCCTCTACCAATAAATTATATATATATAATCTAAACGTGGCACTAAGATCATCTCACCACCAAACCAACAAGTAAAGAAATAAAATTTAGCATTTTCTCTCTCTGGGTTTCTAATTACCTCGATCGACCATGGATCCTAAAGTCTCTGCCTTTATGGTTTTACTTTCACTGGCGGTGGCTGCCGTTGCGTATGATCCCGACATGCTCCAAGATCTTTGCGTCGCGGATCCCAGTTCAGGTAACTGACTTCACAAGTTTATGTCTTTTTTAAAAACAAGTGTAATGAAACATATATGTATATTTAAATGTCTGTGTGTGTGTGTGTGATGGATGCAGGGACGAAGGTGAATGGGTTCCCATGCAAGCCGGAGACGAACGCGACGGCGTCGGATTTCTTCTTCGCCGGGATAGCCAAAGCCGCCGTCGTAAACAACACGATGGGGTCCGCCGTGACGGGAGCCAACGTGGAGAAGATCCCGGGGCTCAACACACTCGGCGTCTCGCTGGCGCGTATAGACTACGCGCCGGGAGGGCTGAACCCGCCGCACACGCACCCACGCGCCACAGAGGTCATATTCGTGGTGGAGGGAGAGCTCGACGTCGGGTTCATAACGACGGGGAACAAGCTGTTCGCGAAGACGGTGAAGAAAGGAGAGGTGTTCGTATTCCCGAGAGGGCTCGTCCATTTCCAGAAGAACAACGACTTGAAGAATCCGGCGTCGGTGATATCGGCCTTCAACAGTCAGTTGCCGGGGACTCAGTCGATAGCCGCGACGCTTTTCACGGCGACTCCTCCGGTGCCGGAAAACGTTCTGACGACGGCGTTCCAGATTGGGAATAAGGAGGTGGAGAAGATCAAGTCCAAGCTTGCTCCCAAGAAGAGTTGAATGATGAAAGGTTGGTAATGGTTACACGTAAGTGAATTGAAGGAGAAGTTTTATTTTACAAATACTTTTACCAAATGGTTGATCACATTTGATTTGATTTTGCAACGTTGAATAAAGTGGGTTCCTTTCAGTATTTAATTCCTCAGTATCTTTGGTTTAATTCGTGTACTGTTGTCGAAGGATATGTATATGTATCTATACCATTTCTGTCTAGTAAAATAAATTTAATTTTAGCATATATATATATGGAGCCTTTTGGCGCACCTTTGCCTTTCCTCAATGATTAGAGATGACGTATGAAGAGCAAAGCACTTGGCGGATACGCCTACATATCTATGCTTATAAACGTAGACGGTTTCGACAAAAAGAAGATCTTGTAAAAGGCATACCATCATGACCATCTTATTACCCCCTGCATGGATGTCCACATCTATACACACACACACAGCATTAACAGGCCTAAGATACATTTATTGAACACATTTACTTTCGTAATGAATTTTAAAAAATGTATTTTTTTTCTTACTTAGATGATCTTACTTTCGGATTTACTTTGAACTAAAAATACTTCAGTTAATTAAACTAAAATGAGGATAACATATCGTATTATATATGTCATAATCTAATTAGATTCATGGATAAGATTCTAAAGATCAAGAGCTTTAGTTCAGATATTCATACCTCGAAATCTAGTGATGTGGGTATCTCAAAACTCAGATTTGCTTGTGGCCCTCTCCTCTTCAGTTCCTTCCCCAGAATTATGAAAAATGTCAAGCAATGAATGAAGAATATACCTCCTCAGTTAGAAAGAAGCCTGTATATTCTCAAGTTTTGTACTGTGCAAATCATAACTTTCCCAACTCCAACGTTAGCTTGCTCAAAGAAATCATTCCATTCTTCATTTTTGAGCTCAGGCGTTACTGAAAATTCGTTACACCAACGAACGGGGGTGAAAATATCCATTACACATGGCGGATCAGTCTGCAAAGTGAAAACTAAAGGCCAATAATTTGGTTCAGTGGTTACCGTTACCTTAGGAATCAATGCAAGGGTTCTGAAGCAGAAAACGAGCATTGTGCAAAACAGCGGTGGCCTCCTCATTGGAGGCATCGAGCAGACGCAATTCCTTCATCTCTTCCTGCCATTTCTCCACATTTTCCTTATGTATCCTGTTCATAAACGATAAGAAAATATATAAGCATGGTGCTGCAGAATGTGTTTTACAGAAGCATACAGTCTTCATCCTCACTCACATGACTAACCGCTCT